ACTGGCTACCCTTCGTACCCCTACAGATACCCATCCTACTACCAGAGGAAGCAGTACCCAGCGTACAACCCCATCTATTACCCTCCTCCCCCCAGACCCAAACCCCGTTACTACCTCACCAAACCTGCCCTCAACCTCAACAACTACCTGAGTAACTCCGTGGACGACACCTACTCTTTCCCTCCCAGACGCCGGTACCACAGCTGGGTCCAGCCTCGGCTGAGGAGCCCCCCCGCAGGCCCCCAGCAGAGGCCCTATTACAGCAGCTATCGCTTTCAGAACTACCCCAAACCACGTTCCCCTCCCAGAATGCCCGTGATCCCTCCCCAACAGAAGTTCTATTACTCACCGGCGGCACCTGCAGTGGCGAGAAATGACGATTTTTATATGGCTGCAAAGAAGCCAAACAGCAGTAACCGTGACGATCTGGAGAAATACATAGAGCAGATTCTCATGAAGAGACCAATGTTAGACTGAAAGGGTTGGGAAAAGAGCGGGAATAGGTTCAAAGAGGAGAGAGGAAAAGTATCTCTAGGATTTTGATTTGCTGGTTTTGTTTTACATATGTCTCTTTCTCCTTTTTGAAATGGTTGCTATTTGGAAAGGACATTCAGGAGGACTTCTTCCAGAGGTAGTCTGAATAAAATGTACCTTTTGTAGGAAAATGAAAAGAAAGATGCACATGTACACTCCTCCTCTGGGAAGAGGGGAAGCGGGATGAACGTTCCGTTGGGAAGCATGACTCAGCAAAGATTTGTATCATGCTAAAACTCTTCATCCAAACTCCCGGCATGACAACATTCTCCATATGGACATTTTACAATGCCAACAAAGGAGGACGCTTAAATATGTTGTTACCTGTACCTTTAAAAAACATATTTTTCACAGTCAAAGAGTCGGGAACATCAGAGGCAGTGGTGGATGCTGGGAAATGTTTGATGGCAATCAAATAGAGATTTGTGTGGCAGGGAACTTTTAAAAATGATTTATCAATACACAATATTTCCCCTATACTAAATGTCCAAAACTATGTGGACCCCAAACATTCCAGTCATGTGTTATTCAGACACATTCAGAGCATTATGAAGTTCCAACAACAACGGCAATATTGTATGTCTCTGCGTACATGATGAAAGAAATCCGTAATCGGAGACGTCAATATCTGTTGACCTTGTGGACCAACAAGTGGTGGCCTAGCCATTGGCTGCTCATGTCCTCCAACAAAACAGTCACTATATCCTAATGTCCCATCATTGGAGCGAAGGAGCCCCAACTCATGCACCTATTGTCTCTTAGAGATGACATTAAATCATCATAACTTTGAAATGGCCTCTTGCCGCAGCCATTCACTATCTCATTGTTTTTAAAATGAATACATTTAATGCAAATGTGTCATTTTGTGTTATTTGTATAAAATTGCAGCAAAGCATTTCTGCAGAAACGCACCTTCTCTATATGTATACTCACACAGAGCTCTTTATAATGGAATATACCGCACCAAAAGAACATTTCATACAAAGGGCTGCAGAAGCCACCATCACTATAATGGCTTGGATGACTCATACTTTTGCATAACTTCAATTACCTTGTTGCTATGGTGCCAAAGCCTGGCCAAACTCTATATGGCATTTGTTGATGCCTTCAGAAGAGAATGCAGTGGTGAAGGCACACTGCTCTTTTTACTTAACACGTGCATTTGAAAGGATAAGGCTGGTGTTATTCCTTTATTAATCTATATCACCAAATGTGTTCCATATTTTCTTACTCCCCTACCCTGTTTGTATGTTTGTAGCACTCAGTTTACATTTGTGATATAGAAAATCCTCAACCTCATCCTTTAAAGAAACCATCCATGGCTTTGATATAGGACCCCAAAGTTTCATTCAGCTAAGAGAGACCATTTAGTGTCATCTTACCAATCAACATTTGTATTGACCATTATCAACTCAAAGAGTATTTTATTGGTCTTGTTGTCCACGTGTTGCACAACCATCAATCATACATGTTATACATTTTTAGGTAGGAAGTTCTTGGGCTGATATTTGCTGCCTTACATGTCACTGTGACATTCTTAACATTATGCTTTCTTTCCCTCTTTTGTACCATTTGATATTGTCAATGAGATCAAGGATGTAATCACTTTTGTAATGGAAACTGGTGGGATGAGAGCATTGGAGTTTATTGATCATTTTGAAAGCATGATAAAGGAATTGCTCTTGGATTGGACAGCGTTGTAAAAAATGTTTTTAACGGGCAGAAAAAGGAGATTGGACTGCTGACATTTCCTTTCTTGACTTACTGATAATCAGTAATCAATAAACACTTCCTTTTCTCCCGGTTTATCCGTTTTTAAATGCGTCACTGGGAACAATAGCAGCTGTTGCTCTTTGGTTTGTCCGTATTGTTGACCTTTGAGGCCATCTGTTGCTAAGGGATGAGCAAATCTCAACATCATTGTGGCCATCCAAAACAGATTAATGGCATCGACAATCTCATACTGAAAGAAATGTCAACACGAGGCCATTAGTCAAAAAAGAGTTGAAGAGATGGAAGTAAAAACAAAGCCTTTTTATCATTTCTATTTTAAATGTGTTGTTTTTGATGAGATTAAGAGAGGAGTTACAGACAGATGAGAAAAAGGGGCTGAAATATGAAGCGACAGACCAGAGGCGAGGGTACAGTGTCTGCACGTTTATGTATACTTGCATCTAAAAATTGCTTCTTTGAAGACGTACAAGCATCAATTAAAAAAGTATAAAAAAATCAAAGATGACAGAAACAATGACGTCAGTGTACCTCAAAATGAGTCCTGCGTGCGGCGAGTGTTGTCCGTGATCTTTCTAGATGTACCTTGTTGTAACCATCGTGATAAACATGCGTTTGCTGGATGTAAATATGCGCATGTCAATGACTACTTTTGCTACACGTAAAGAAACAATAAAGTGAACTATTTTTAATACAAAATGCTTCATTGTGGACAATTATTGGATGGGTGGATTTTGAAGTGTAAGTAAAAATGTAAATCTAGATCTCTCCATATTTTTGCTTTTATATGTCAAGGTTTCTCTGATCATTGTGCCTGCTCAGAACGAAAGTGCTCAGAGCTTTAAAAAATGACCTTTTAAAAATGGAGCAGAGTTGTCTGGAACTACTTTTTACAGAAAAATGGTCCCCATGAAAACTGATGATGGTGTGTGAGAGTTTACTGCCCAGAGTAACAGGGACCAAATAGATGTTGCCGTTGAGAGGACTTGAATGCGACATCACTTGTTGATATAATGTGACGGCCATTCAAATGTCTAAGTGTGCATTTTGAGTAGATTTATTTGCAAAGTAAACAGCTGTAAAGATGAACAGGAAAGTCATTGGTCCAAACTGTGATCAGATAAAATGACATTTAGCTATTATTTTGGAAGCAAGGTTAGTTAGTTACTCCTTTAATAAACACTTGTCACTATATTGAAAACAAAACCAATTATGCTCCGGTGCTTTCAGGAAAGTACACCATCTTCATGATACATAAATCACATCTAGGGTTAAGAATGATAATCCCCTGTGTAGTCCTTGGGGGCCGATTATAGCACAGACAGTAATTAAAGGTGGGAGGGAGCAGAAGACAAGATTAGGCTTGCTTTGATACGTCGTGCTGCTCAGGGGTGGGGGCTGTGTTCAGCAGGGTGATTAGATGTTGGAGCAGCCATCACAGGAGATGGTGATTGTGGGCTGCAGGGATGTGCTTACACCCATGCAGACCAATAACCACAAATGCATGGCTGTCAAGGTTTGAGAAACACAACAACTATCGAAAGTCAAGGACTTCCACGGGCTGTCAATGGAGCTCCAGTCATTCAATCTCAGCACAGACAACATGAATGGATGCATTTACTTAGGTGGTTTGTGTGAGTGGCAGAGATGCACACAAATAAATGGTGTACAATGCAAACGTGTATTAAGTGATCAGTATTTTGCTGAGGCTGCTCTGCAATGCAACGGAAAGGCTGCTGGTAAAACAATAAAGAGAAGGTGGAGAAACAGAGAGGGTGCCAGATGACAGGGTGAGGAAAAAGTAACACAGGGCTGGGCAGAGGCAGGGGATGGGGGGGGGGGGGGTGAGATAAGGGAGGAGTGGTTGATGGTTGCAGCTCTGCCAATGGAGAGGTGCAGTGATTCATGATGTCACGTGGTGAAGACTGTGTGACTCATCCACCAACATCATCATGCAGCCACTGCAGAGCACACACACACACACACACACACACACACACACACACACACACACACACACACACACACACACACACACACACACACACACACACACACACACACACACACACACACACACACACACACACACACACACACAGTGCACACATGCATGCATGTACATAAAACAGTAAGATGATCAAACATATTCATGTGCATACACATTTTCAATGAAGCAGCACGCTCATTAAAACACACACACACACACACGCACACACACACACACACACACACACACACACACACACACACACACACACACACACACACACATTGGACATACTGTTGTGGAAACCTTTAATAGCTCTCATACGGCACAATCAGTGTATCCACACCAATACATGTAGCCTAGATTTTTTGTATAACTTAAATATTCTCAGACTTAAACACTCTTTATGACGTCATGATGCAATTAATTGAAATCAATGGTAGCATGGCAGAGCGGTCTAATCCGCTGACCGTCAAAGAAGGGGAAGAAGGGGTGATAATAGAGAAAAGGGGGAAATGTGTGTCTTTTTAAAAACAATATCTACTTGATCTACTATCTGGGCTCACATGGGAAACTTTTAATGTTTTCCAATTACGTGGACACGCCGCCGACGGGAGTCGAACTAGCTGCCGCAGGCTCGGCTGTCTAATTTTGAGAAATGTTGAGAATATGGCCAATCAGAGAGCCAGCTCCAACATTCGTTAGCCAATGGCAGCGCCAGCTCCATAATTCGCCGGCCAATCACGTTCGCGGCTCCTACATTCGTCCAAAATTCCTCCATAATTTGACCAAACACGGCGGAGAAATGTTGGAGCAACGAACATAACATCGACGACATCATTAAAGTTTACGAGTGGTTACAAACATGGTAAGTCTTATAACAGTGTTGTATATGATATGACTATAAGTGTGTAATTAATTCAAACTGTTGTGTCGTGTTGTCATATCGATTAATTAAACTATTATCCTACAAACTCTCCGTTATCTGACCCCCGCTGTTTACACAATGGACGCTAACAATGTTTACAAGTTTTTACGTTTTTATGAACATGGTGAGTCTTATTACAGTGTTGTATATGATATGACTATACATTTATAATTCATTCAAACTGTTGTGTTGTCATATAGGCCTAGATTAATTCAACTATTAAGGTCACAAAACCCCGTTATCTGACGCTCTTATGCTTTGTTAGCCGGCCGCCGGATACTGCTAACTTTTACTGTTAATGTAATTTAATTAGGTGCTGATACTATCAATTCAGAAGCGGAAAAGCTGAAATAACGTTAATTTACTACGTTATATGGCACATTATTAAGTAGCCTACTAGGCCTTATTTACATAGGCTTTGCCCAAGAAGGTAGCTGACGCTAATCACATGCTTTTCTAATTCATGATATTTTCAAACACACAATTTACTTTTTAGATAAAACCTCCAATGTAAAGGTCAAGTATATTTAACATTTATATTGTGTTTTTTGTTTTTAATAGAGGGGTGTTCTGTGCTTACCTTTCACTACAATGGACCAAACGTTTTTTATATGTTTTATAGGAACTACAAAACCATGTTATATATAAAATACGTGTCATTAATTAGAAAATGCTTTTTGTATCAAATAAATCATTAGGAAATTATTATTACATATACAAATGTGCCAGGGCCTGGTATTTTAGTAATGCAATTAATTTTACATTGTGTTTTTTTAAAGCATGAAAACATTCTTAGGTATGATATATGTTAGTCATAGTTTTACATGTCCTCTATGAAATTAAATATTCACAATCAAGAGCAGGTTATTATCCCCCCAATCATAGTATTGGAAATGTATACTGTGTTAAAGGTCCCTAAATGTTTTCTTATACAATATTTTATATGATCATAATTTTTCAAACACATTGGAGAGGCTTTCTAGGCTTACTGCCAGAAAGATATTTTTAACCCAAACAATAACATTTTCACACACAATTTCTGGCATAAAGGCCTGACAGCTTACTCCTCGTAAAAGTGTTTCACTTGATATGTATATGTTTCTGCACCTATGTTGTTTCTATGCATTTAAAAATGTTCTCACATTTATGACTCTAAAGGAACAATCGAGGAAAGCAAAAGCATACAAGGCCATGTCGGACTCAGAGTGGATGTCCCGCCTGAGGAAGTTTGCCAGCACGGGGGCCAGGCCTGCAGGGGAGGGAAACAGGCCGGCTCCCAGGCAGAAGAAATGGTGTGAGCTGTATCAAAGGGTACGAGTATATTCATGGAACTATGTATTTTAATACATTTTATTTACTGCACCAATTAAATGATTCATCCTTTTTTTAACTCAATCAAATGCACAACTACTATTTTCAGATTGAGAAATGTCCAATGCAGGCACATGGACAGAAATCCTTGTTTGGCCAAGTGCTGCAGTGTACCTGTGGATTCCACCCTCAGAAGGTAACACTCTCAAGAACTAAATGAAAACCTCATGTTGTCTGTGCAAGTGTTTATTTGCATTCATATCATTAAACAAACTCATTACTGATCTATGTTCACTGTCATGGAACAACAGCCAGCTGCAACTCCTGTCCAAGGTGCCGTGGGACAGTAGAGTGCTGCATCTGGTCCGGTCCACAGAGCTGTGGGGCAGCAAAGTGCTGCATCTGGTCCGGTCCACAGAGCTGTGGGACAGCAGAGTGCTGCATCTGGTCCGGTCCACAGAGCTGTGGGACAGCAGAGTGCTGCATCTGGTCCGGTCCACAGAGCTGTGGGACAGCAGAGTGCTGCATCTGGTCCAGTCCACAGAGCTGTGGGACAGCAGAGTGCTGCATCTGGTCCGGTCCACAGAGCTGTGGGACAGCAGAGTGCTGCATCTGGTCCGGTCCACAGAGCTGTGGGACAGCAGAGTGCTGCATCTGGTCCGGTCCACAGAGCTGTGGGACAGCAGAGTGCTGCATCTGGTCCGGTCCACAGAGCTGTGGGACAGCAGAGTGCTGCATCTGGTCCGGTCCACAGAGCTGTGGGGCAGCAGAGTTCAGTAGGTACTGTCCAAGGCGCTGTGGGACAGCAGCAGACTGCAGCAGAAGGACACCTGCGAACACCACTAAACTTGTCAATGGTATTTGGACAGTTATTTAGACTCATGTATTAACCATTAACATTTTAAGACGAATTATATCTTGACAGTATCATCCTCTCATGACACATTTGTTTGCTTTATTGCCTTTCAGTTTACCAAGTCAAGATTTGGTGGTGCACTCGCTGCTCTTGCAAAGCCAAATTTGAGTACAGCCAGACCCAGAAAGGCAACAGAGGTAAATCGATTTTACAGTTTAACTTAGATTATTTATACAATTGACTCATACTGAATGTTTTACAGACCCATGTCACGGACCCCACAGAAGCATCTACCGGCACTTACCCCACAGAAAGAAGCTTCAGCACTGCACTTAGCGCTGCTGTCTCAGTAAGTGATGATAAACTCACTTTTGTGTTTGTATTCCTACACCATTTTTCCCAAATAGTATTAAGGGAATTAAAAGCCATTTTAATGTTTTATTAAATAATGTGTTGTTACACATTCAATTCTGAAATGACAATTGAAAGCTAAAAACAAATAGTGTTTCCTTTAGAGCAGCTGAAAAATAACTTTGAATCTTTTGAATGTAAATGCTATGATTTCTTTAAACACATGTCAGTATATTTCTTGCCTTTTACAGGCTGCACAGCCTCAGACAGCTTCAGTGCCTGTCCTCAGTCCCGGAGCAGTGAGTGCCACTGTGTCGTTAAGTCATTTAATATTTCATTTCATACTGTGTAGAGCATCAGCAGTGTTTGTACCTGTGTTAAGGTTGCTTATGCTCTGTTGTTGTTAGTATCATTGAGTCATAATACACTATTTCTATGGCACTTTTCACAAATGAAATCCCCAAAAGTGCTTTTTAACAAGGGATCATATTTTAAATAATCATAAAACTGTGATAGAATGACAAATGTATGTACAATGAGAAGGGAAATTAAAACGGCGGAATATATACTACATATAATAGTGAAAAATAGATAAAACAAATGAAAAAGAAGATAAAAAACGATGAAATGCATTCTACAATTGGTCACACGTTATTTACAAGGTTTTTAACTTGACACTTGAAAAAAAAGAAAACAACGCTATGTGACAGACAAAAAATAAACATAATTGAAAGAGGAATTTTCAGTTCTTCAGAATGAGGGTCAGCTATGGAAAGACCCTATACCCTATAGTAGCTGGCATTCATTCAAGTCCTTCAGGAAACTGTGGGATGTAAACACATTGCATTGACCCAACACGAAGAGATTTAATTTGTGCCATAGAAATAGTGTATTATGACTCAATGTGATGTTGTACTTAACTTAAGTTTTTCCATTATATGTATTCTTTAATTCTACTGTGCTACATCTTTAGAGGCACATATTCTACATTTTACCGCATGTATGAATGCAGGACTTTTACTTGTAATGTAGTATGTTAAGTCTGGTATAAGTACTTTCACTTAGGTAGAGGATCTGAATACTGCTTTCAAGAGTGAATGTTAATACTATTAAATGTTGTCATCATCACCATTACTAATGTGCTATCCTCCACAAACCGTAATTAAAACACTTACTTGTTCAACTGCTGTGCACCAGTTTTGTTTGTTCAGAGAAAAATAAATAAGGAAATACTTTTTGAAATATGTATTTAAAACACACCACAACGGTACAATAAATACAACAAAGACTTCAAATTTAGAAGTAATTTGATAAATACTGAGATTACTATTCTCAGCAAACTAATAATAAATAACTACAATTACAAATTACAATATAACTATACGTTTCAAGTATTAACTACATTACAAACAAATTATATTTAAGTAGTTACACTATTATAAGTAGATATTTACAAAACAACTACTATTTAGAAGTATTGAGCATTGAGCATAAAATGTTGGACGAATGTTGGGGCCACGAACGTAATTGGCCAAAGAATGTTGGGGCTCACACTCTCATTGGCCGAAGAAAGTTGGAGCTCGCAGTCATATATTCCCAACATCTGGGAGAAGTTGGACTTTATGAAGTCATGATGCCTTGAACAGATTTTTAACGGTAGCGTGGCCGAGCGGTCTAAGGCGCTGGATTAAGGCTCCAGTCTCTTCGGAGGCGCGGGTTCGAATCCCGCCGCTGCCATAACATTTATGCATTTCTAAAATTCTATTATTGTTACGTATGTCAAAAGTAAAATACCGCATACCGCTTTCAGTGCTTTTCCAATTTTATTATAGAACCCATTAGTAGGTCAGGGTGTTTTCTCCTTTGTATTGTTGAGGGTTTCTCCAGGCTGCAATTCCTGTCGTAAATTGTAAGAAGAGAAGAAGGAAGAAGAAGGAAGAAGAAAGAAGAAGAAGGAAGAAGAAGGGGGAAGAAGAAGGAAGAAGAAGAAGAAGAAGAAGAAGAAGAAGAAGAAGAAGAAGAAGAAGAAGAAGAAGAAGAAGAAGAAGAAGAAGAAGAAGAAGAAGAAGAAGAAGAAGAATCCCCCGACGGGGCCTGTAAAGGAAGCAATACAACATACTGTATTAAATAGAAGACACATATAAAACAATACCTGTGAGTAAAAGTTCAGGGCGAATTATTCCCACAACGGATTGAGGAACCCGGAAACAGTTAGTCTCATTGCTTTCAAATTAAAATGAGAAATTAATTTGACAGTTCACTTTTATTTGAACATGTTGATTATCGATTCGAGGTTCTTTCTATTGAGGGGAATTATTACATTTGCATTTAAAAAGAGCAATTCCATTTTCAATTTTCTTTCCTCTGCCTTGAACGAAAGTTTAAGAAAACTAACATCGTTTTTTATTAATTATCCATTTGAATAAAAGGTCACAAGCCAGGGAAAAAACCGTTAAAAGTCCTAGGAGCGTTTCAATGTCAACATCATGTTGCAACATATTTTGTTTAAGATAAATGTGGTCTAGGGATCTGAATTGCGGATGACGTTTTACTGTGAAAATATTGCACCGGAACCGATCAGAAGACGTTTTGTTGTCGTTGTGAGAGAAAACAGTAAAGGCACGTGTTATAAATTCAGTTTAAGGTAACATTTAGTTTTATGTCCAGTGAGTAACGGTACAAAAACTACTCCAGTTTTCACGGGACGAGCCAGCCAGGGGCAGTTTAGGTTGTATCTTTGACGTCATTTGAGATGAAGCCTCCTCCTCGTAAACGCAACAAAAAGAATCTGAGTATTGAACCACCATCGGCTCCACGGAAAGGGTCCGGTACCTGGCAGCGGCTCGAGCAGAAGAAGCTCCTGAACGCCCTGACGGAACTCGGCAAGACCAACAACGTCAACGAAGACATTGACTGTGAATTCCTGAGAAAACATGTCCGCACCCGCTCCATTTCAGAGGTACGTTTCAAAACCTATACATTCAGCAATATGCCATCTGAGTATAGGGTAGTCAGGGGCGCCGCCAGGGATTTTGGGCCCCATGAAAATATATCACATTGGGCCCATAGACTGATGGGCCCCACCACCAGGCACAGGCCACGCCAACCAAGCACAATTCCTGTAACCACACCTCCAGAACCCAACCGACTCATTTATGCTTTAAATAACTCTACCTGTACAGGCTTCCATCTATCTTGTAGTCCAATACTAACAGCACAATATTTACTGACACTGAGCTGTGAAAATACAACACTGTGCAGACGTGCAACATTCTGCTGCAGTATAATTCACTATTTGATATAAGACTTAACATTCCTGACAATAGATCAATAGTCATCTTTTATGGTGTAAATGCATTTTTAATAATAACATTTTTGAATGGAACATTCTCAACACGAATGCATAAATCCAAATAAATATAACCTAAATATGTGGAAAATTACTGTGTTTGAAATGTATAATTGAAATTATATGAGATGTTAGCTTTTTGTTTTGATATATATATATATATGTTGTATTCCAGTCTCCCTTCAGATATGTTAAGTGGCATGGCATTCAACACAATGCTACTCACCTCCTTCAGTTGGGAGACAAGCTGGTGCAGGTTCCTAAGCTAAAGGAGGTTATAAAGGAAGTTTGAAACCTCCTTTCCTTTCATCTAGAGAATTTGAACGGCACTTATCATGGCTGCCACTGAGGGACTTCCGTGTCATTTCACTCCGTTAGGAAGGTTCCTAAGCTCAATGGACTATTCGACTTCAGCCAGGGCTGCTGAGCCTAGAGATGGATCTGTTGGTCCTGGCACCAGGGGGAGGGACAACTGATTTAGTATGAATAGCTGCTAAAAATGTACCTGCATTTATTAAATGTCAGCTAAAAGAACAGTGAAATGATAAACCTCTGAATTTTCTGTGAAGATATTAACAGTACTTTATGTCATTACAATTATTATTTACAATGGACTACGCTTAGCTAACAGTCTAATTTCCACCACTCATGGACCACACTCACCTTTTCTCTTGAAAAACTTCTCTCCTTTCTTTTCTTTTTTGAAAGCCTGACTTTTGCCCCTTTCACACCAATGCGTTTTCAGCTCCGGCTCGGAGCTGGAGCCTGAAAAGTACCGGTTTTTCCTGTGCACACCGCCTCTTAGCTCCGGAATCCGGTTCACTTCCAGCTCCAAAAAATTGTTGGTCTAGAGGCAAGAGCTTCGGAGCTAAGAGGCGGCGTCGCTTACGTCTCTCTTACGTCGAGGCGGGGGCAGGGGCATGGGCGGGATCAGCCTCCTGAACAACAACAAAATGCTTGCGTGTGATGTTTGTAAAGTTCCAAGTAAAGTCGTCCCTTGTAAAGTCGTCCGATGCCTTCCATTTCGTTTCGTAAGAGGATAACCAAAGCGAACAGCGCTTCAATACAATCGGTCATTGTTGTTGTTGTCGATGTGAGGGATTTCCGCGTGGTTTGGATTTTATGAAGCAGGCACGTAAACGGTGACGTCATGACGCAGCAGCGGCAGCTCTGGGCGGTGTGAACAGAGCGGGAGCAGAAAAGGGAAACCGGAGCTGAACCAGAAAAGCTCCCGCTCGGAGCTAGAAAGGGAAAAGCGCTGGTGTGAAAGCCGCATCAGTTAGTCATTGAGACATGGTACACACAGTACCATGTCTGGTGCCGCACCGCGTTTGGAGGCAAGACCAAACATGTAAATAGAAGGGGGTGTACAGAGTAGGGATGTGCATCTCCATCACTGAGGCCGATGTGATGCGCATCTCGATACGATACATTAACGATACATTTGAAACACCAGGCGATGCGATATGATACGATTCACCCCTGTTGCGATACAGTTCGATACGATTTGATTCAACATTATGCGATACGATGCGATTCAACACGATGCCAAAAATAATGATACTTCAATATGGTACGACAGAGGATTTTTGTTTTATTCCTTATATGCAGCAAATCATAAATTAACGAAAAAGTGCGTTACATATTTGGTTCTCTCTACTAGTACTGCACATCCCATCATGCTGTTTCTTTTTTACCTTAAAAAACTCTCCAGAGTACAGTTCAATGTTATAACACCTCACAGTTAAATAATTTAAGGATGCATTGCCTATGATTAACAATGTGCAAATACCAGCTACCATAGATCAATGCCCATACAGCTGCCAGCCTGATGTGCTTAACACTCATCCAGAGGCTAACTCACCAGTGAGCAGAAAGCACTGGTTTCTCTATGAACAATAAAGAATACAAATAACCTTTCACAAACAGGTATTTCATAACTGCTTACAGTAAGGAAGACATTTAAACTATTATTGGCAGTCACAGGCTGCTGTAAACTAAACACCTCTCTCTGACAGAACACCTCTCTGAGTGATTGAACTCATATGTCTAACTTTCAGGTTTCTCTTTTCAGCCGCAGACCCCATGTCGCTTCTTTATGTGCGTCGCTAAGTTCCTTGTACTACTTGTGTACTTTAAAGCGGCATGGCATCGTTTACAATTTGCGAGCGATTTTTCAAGTTGTCCGTCTTTCTTGAAAAATCTGAAGTATTGCCAAACGTTTGATTTGTAGGTATTTTTCGTTGCGCTGTGTTTCTCTTTCTCCTCGACTTCATGTGTGTTGATAACTGAGACTCTCGGCCTCCATAGCACAAAGCAAAGATCAAAGATCGTCTCTGCTGAGCGTTGACAGGATGAGAGGATATTATATGAATAAATCGTTTTTTTACCGATGCAAAGGCGCTACAATCGATACATCGCGAGTTCAACCCAAACTGTAGCCGATGTGCACTCTTTCAACCGGTGCACTCGCATCTTGAACGTTTATGCTGGTGTATCGATGCGAATCGGTGAATCTTAACATCCCTAGTACAGAGGCTTTGGATAATTAACTTTTGGAAGAAAATAAGTTAAATGAATCGTAAGTTTAGTGAGTACATTATCAATATAACGTTCTATTACTGTTAATTATTGATGAATGATGAAAGGTTACTTACATTTTTTTTTCTTAATGTTCTAAAATAGTTTGGGCCCCTGTCAGTCACGGGCCCTTAGAATCGTCCTAACTTTTCACCCCCTTTACGGCGCCCCTGAGGGTAGTAACTAAGTACATGTTCTCAAGTACTGTTCTAAAATACACATTTGAGTTACTTGTTATTTACTAGATTATTTCAATTTCATTCTTCTTTATACTTCTACTCGACTACATTTTGGAAGCAAATATTGTACTTTTTACTCCATTACATTTATTTTACAGGTTAAAATTAGGATTTTGACACACAATATTTAGCAAAAACGTTTAAAATATGATTGTTTGATATAGATTAATAGACTCGCAGCCAAGCTGCGGGTGAGTGTGTGTGCTCGAGGTGGTTTCGGTCTGGGTTTCGCTGTGTCTCGTTGTCTCGCAGACGGCCACTGGGCTCACAGGGAGGGGGGGCAGCCGGCAGGAGCTCCATCAAGCCGTTTAGGACAGAGAGTGAATACACATACTATACAGAGATGCTGGATGAGAAACCAATGTGATTTTGGAACATTGAACAATGTAAATCTATTCTAGTAGACCTCAACAATGGAATTATGATCAGTAGAAATGGCCATGACATGGGACCTTTAATGTATGTTCATTATTTGGTTTTATTTCTTTAATTCTTTTTTTTAATTACATTTTTGGTGTCATGTTGAAATCTTGAATGATAATTAAATCCCTACCAATTCAGTAAAATTACAATTATACAAATAGATAAATAAACCATCCAACACTATATTTAAGTAACTAAAATCATGAATTGGCAGCAATTCTGCTAAAAGCGTTAAAAAAAATATTCCACAGCTCCAGCTTGTTAAATGTTTCTAATCGCACTTAAATACTTTTACCATTCTTGATGCAGTACTTTTATTAGAAATGTTGTATTTTTAAAGAGTGGTATTGGTTCTTTAACTCAAATAAAAGGTCTGAATACTTTTTCAACCCCTGAGCAGTAAACACTGCAGAGTAGCTCTAATGTAAAGACGTGTGGTTTGTCATTGTTTCAGATCAGCACTATGGTGGAACTTCTGAAGAGCCAGGTGATCTCCTTTGCCACCTTAGAACTGAAGAAGAAGATGCAGGAGGAGAAGGGCAGGAAGCCCATCGAGGAGTGGACACGCATGGCCTCTCTGGTGGCTGGAGCCCAGGAAGAAACCGTTTCAGATGCTTTCTCTCAGGTACTGCAAACATATATACAGTATTTATTTTTTCAATATTTTGTTTTCAAAAACACTTTACATTACATAACATTCCGTGTACACAAAGAACATTATTTTTGCAATATAAAAGCACGAGTAAACTAAATGAAAACAACACAAATGCATTGATAAAAGACTATAAGAAATCAAAAATGCTTGCATTAAGATTTTTATAAAATCTAAACTATGATTCAGATATAATAACAAAAGAGAACAATTAAAGCACATTGAATTAAAGGAAACAGAAGTCCAGTCTCAAGGATAAAGAACAATGAATAAAAAACAACAACAACAAAAAGAGAAAAAACGGAAAAACAACATGGACAAAAATGTTCAAGAGATCCCTTTGAAAGAGAGGAGTAGAAGTGCTAGATATTGACGTGACGAATCCAACCTGTCTCTACCTGCTGGTCTGAACTGATTGTGTCTCTCACCATCGTCCTCTCCCTCTGTTCCTCTGTTCCTCAGATGCTCACAGTGTGCTCCACAGAGCCTAACACCCTGAGGTACTCCAACCCCCCCCAGGTCTACAGACCCCCCCCTGTAGGATGCACCGTCCCTCTGAGGCCAGTTCCCCATCAGCCAGTCAAAGGTACGGACCTCCAGCTTCTCTATGTAGACACATTTACTAACACTTGACGGACAACAAATATTGATACCAGGGCCCTTTCTCATTTCTCGATTTCCCTCCCTCGACTCCCCTCCTCGACTCCCCTCCTCGACTCCTATCCTCGTGTCTTAGTCCCGCCCACAGGAGATGCGAGCGGAGGAAAAATGCACTTATTTTTATAAGAAACTTCAGGTTGTTCATGGTATTTTGTTAAAAGATAATTTATTAAATGTAAACTGAACTTATAGGTTATTAAGCTATTATTTATGTACTGGTCCGGCCCACTTGAGACCAAATGTGGCTGTATGTGGCCCCTGAACTCAAATGAATTTGACTCCCCTGCACTAGATGGTTATAATTAATGAACCGTAAGGATGCATTGCTAATTTCCTTCATGTCACTGATGATAGGGCATATTACAGTTTTTTTCATTTTGTGATTTTTTTCCTCTCTTAGTTGAGAAGTTCAGAACCAACACAGCCCGTCCAATCAGAGCACTGAAGAGTCCAGTAGCAGCCATGAGCCGAGGAGTGACCCCACGACCGCTCTCTACTGCAGCTGGAGCCTCACCTGCTCCCCCCCCCACCTCTCAGTCTGCGGTCGGTCAACTTTATTTTCAAATGATGTGCAATGCCTTGTTTTTTTTGCCATTGTTGAGGTCTACTAAAATAGATTTATATTGTGCAATTTTCCAAAATCTCATTGGTTTCTCATCCAGCATCTCTGTATAGTATGTGTATTCACTCTCTGTCCTAAACGGCTTGTTGGAGCTCCTGCCCCCCCCTCCCTATGAGCCCAGTGGCCGTCTGCGAGACACCGAGACACAGCGAAACCATCCCTCACTCACCGACTCACAGCCTCGCCGCATCCCGCCGTCTCAGGGAGGGTGTGTGTGTGTGTGTGTGTGTGTGTGTGTGTGTGTGTGTGTGTGTGTGTGTGTGTGTTGTGTGTGTTGTGTGTGTGTGTGTGTGATGTGGGTGTGTGGTGTGTGTGTGTGGTGTGTGTGTGTGTGTGTGTGTGTGTGTGTGGTGTGTGGTGTGGTGTGTGTGTGTGTGGTGTGTAGTGTGTGTGTGTGTGTGGTGTGTGTGTGTGTGTGTGTGTGTGTGTGTGTGTGTGTGTGTGTGTGTGTGTGTGTGTGTGTGTGTGTGTGTGTGTGTGTGTGTGTGTGATGTGTTGTGTGTGTGTGTGTTGGGTGGTGTGTGTGTGTTGGGTGGTTGGTGTTGTGTGTGTGTGTGTGTGTGTGTGTGTGTGTGTGTGTGTGTGTGTGTGTGTGTCGGTGTCGGAAGATTATAATTGAAAATAAATCTCCAACGAGGCGTTCTGGGGCAGCATAGACAGGTATTTTCTGTGTTAGAGTTTTACTCGCTACAGGGTGTACTTTGAGGGTTTGTGACTCTGCAGACCGTTTACATGCAGAAGCTACATAACACACAAGGGGATGGGTAATAACCGGAAAAGCATGACATGGGACCTTTAACATGCTGCTGTAACAAAAAACATTCCTAATTTAGTATCAATATCTCTTTATCACCCAGCAGCCCTCAGAGCGACCCCCCACCACCACCACCACCTCGTCGTCAGAGTCCCCCTCATCCAGTCCTCACACGTCTCCCACCAACCGAGCTCCAGCCCCCAGTCCTGCACCATCCTCGGGGGCTTCCTCCTCCACCCCCGTGCGGCAATTCCACTCCAAGCTAACCAGCAAATTAGCCCTCAAGTGCACTCCCTCTGTGGGCGCGCAGAGCGTGGTGCACTTTGAGAGGATCTATCACTACCTGAGTATCATCAACAGCCCCGGCGAGAGCTGTACCCTCACGGCTATGGGTGAGTCCAAAGTCCTCTGATTGGTGACGTCTAAAATACGGCAGATATATCAACCAATCATCTGCAGTCCGCTGGAAACAATGTTAGTGGAGCCATTAACAGCTCTTTGATTATGAAGAAAATATCTAACGGGTGTATTCAAGTTGCAGCATTATTTATGAACTGTTAAGATAGGGCTGGGCAGGAAGACAAAAAACTCATATCACGGTATTTTTCCAAATGATTACGGTATATGACTTTATTTATTTATTTTTCGATGATTGGAAATGTATTTACATTTATACATTTTCACTCCACAAAAAACACCTGATCAGTGGGGGCCCTCATGAGTCTTATGAGGTGAAGGAATCAGAATTATTAACCATTAACCATTATACTGTGCAAATGTTGCCTAACACACAACAACATAACAATTAACAACAAAAGCACTGTATGTAAAATGTAAACAAATCCCCCTTTCCCTGAAACTTCACAGTGCACATTTAAATACTTATTTTAAGATTTACGATTGACCTTCAAACTTAGATTCAGAATAAAATAATAAAGTGCAAATTCACAACTTAATAAACCTTGCTTCTGAATTTTTTTAGGATTATTTGTGTTGCAAAAGCCATTCTGACCTCTACAATACCATCCCATGTGTAGCACAGTAATGTATTGGCCACAATAATACCTGACTGTCCATGTTTGTGCAGGTGTTCCTGTTGTTCTTAGGAGCACCACATCTCCCCCCCACTGCATCACATGATCTAATCTCAGGTTATTTGGTCCTCCAGAGAGTGCGATAGTGTTGGACCTGTTGATGTCTCTTCCTGAGGAGCTGCCCCTGCTGGACTGCAGCAAACTGAAGAAACATCTGCTCCAGGTACAACACGCTGCAAACCACTTATTTGGTTGGGGGTCTTATTGGCCCTAAATTCATGTTGTGCACCTGATTGGCCTCTAGAGGTCAGGGCACTCTAATAGTTTGAAGTATTAATACTTTTTCTCTGTCTTCTCTCCATGTTTTGATGGAGAAGCAGCAGCTGATTTGATATAACAAGATCATTTGAGCTCTTTATGCATTCTTCTCGTAAGTTCACATGTCTGCAAGCTCAGAGACTACAGTAGGGGAAAAAATGTAGTAAAAAGGTAAACAAAGGATGACACATGGCGTAATAAACGTTCACAGAAACAATAACATTATGATTTATGACGGAACAAAAACACATGAAATCAGAGGAAGCACAGGCTAATAAACGCATGTCATTAATTCATAAACCCTTTAATGGTGAACTTTTGACAAAAATAACTAGGAAGAAGTTCAAATCAGGCAGTAAAAACGTGTTTGCCGTTTCTGGAACTGTGATATGTTGCCATGTAATGTCCCAGTCCTGTTTACATCATTCCAAACCCTGATGGTAAGCACTGGGCCCTTGTCTTGTCGGAAATTAGTTATATTGACACACAAACGGCAGAAAATAGGACACCACTTGATTTAAAATAATTTTGAAGATGGTATCCCCTCATAAATAAAGTGGTGTTGTACAGTATAAACCTATGCAGCTCTGGCGTAGGGCTGAACGATTAATAGATTTTAAATCGAAATCGCGATTTGAAATGATGCGATTATCAAATCGCAAAGCCAGCCATTTTTTTTAAAAACTTTTATTTATTTATTTATTTTTAAACAATTTTTCTTCTTCTTGTGTGTCAGTCATCCACACCAATCAGAAGTGCTGTGCTCCACATGTACCAGCCATCGTTAACCAATCAGAAGTGGCCCATGATTTAGGGCTGTACGATTTTGGGACAAAATCTAATTGCGATTTTTCTGACAGATATTGCGATTCGATTTGCGATATTTGTTTTTAAGCGACCCAACGGAAGTTTATTGTAAAATGCGGCCATAACTCCGGCTAGGAAGGTCGTATCAACGTGCTCCCGTCTCTAGCACCCCCGCAGCCCGAGCTACGAGTGAAATAACTAAACTTACATGAAACTTCCGTTGGGTTGCTTTAAAGTCAAGCTTCAGTTTCAGATTCTCCCTGTAATAGAAACATGTGATGGAGCAGTACTGACCTGACTCAGATGCTTTCACCAAACCATCTAAAGCTCCATTGGAAGCCATTTGGAAAGGGCAGGCACTTTCAAAAATACTTGGCAGGTGATTGGATCAATCTGTCAATCACCTTCTATCATGGGCCACTTCTGATTGGTTAACAATGGCTGGTACATGTGGAGCACAGCACTTCTGATTGGTGTGGATGACTGACACACAAGAAGAACAACAACATTTTCTTTTAAATGGCAGGCTTTGCGATTTGATAATCGCATAATTTCAGATTTCAAATCGATTAATCGTTCAGCCCTACCATGATAGAAGGTGATAGACAGATTGATCCAATCACCTGCCAAGTATTTTTGAAAGTGCCTGCCCTTTCCAAATGGCTTCCAATGGAGCTCTCCTAGATGGTTTGGTGAAACAAAGCATCTGAGTCAGGTCAGTAATGCTCCATGTGACGAAGGTAACTTCGTCACTATGGACTGACTGCTTCAGGCCGGGTAATTGTGTGCACCTGGTGTCCTGTGTTGTCTCCTCCCCCCCTCACCTGTGTCTTGTTGTGCTGATTAGTGTGTGTATTTAGGCTCTGTTTCCCTGTCTGTTGGGAGGCTGGTAGTGTTTTTGAGATCTTTGTGGCTGCAGGATGGGTGGAAGGAGAACAGCAAGATTGAGGCTGTGAACTTTGTGCCCAGGATTTTAATAAATGCCCACGTCGGGTTATATTTTTGGACGTTCTGCCTCTGCCTCCTTGCTTGGTCTGGGCCGCTCAACGGTCAGCTTCACACTCCATCACATGTTTCTATTACAGGGTGAGTCTTAAACTGAAGCTTGACTTTAAAGCAACCCAACGGAAGTTTCATGTAAGTTTAGTTATTTTACTCGTAGCTCGGACTGCGGGGGTGCTAGAGACGGGAGCACGTTGATACGACCTTCCTAGCCGGAGTTATGGCCGCATTTTACAATAAACTTCCGTTGGGCCGCTTAAAAACAAATATCGCAAATCGAATTGCAATATCTGTCAGAAAAATCGCAATTACATTATTTCCCCAAATCGTGCAGCCCTACTCTGGTGCGTACCAAACTTGCAAAGGTTTTGGTCAATTAGAAACCCCCAGGTCGGAAAATGTAAGCCGATTTAATAGAAGTCTATGAGATAATTACATTAACTGTCACATGATTTATTCCCTCATTAAGCATTTTCCTGACGAGTTTATGGTCTCATTGACTATTGTTTTTCAATACAACATGATCCTTTTGGAATGTATTGTCCTATTTAGAGCACAATAGACAATGAAGAACCAATGCTTTGGTAAAATTGTGATTGACAGGTGGCTATCGTGGTGTTGTCCAGTTTGCAGGTCATTAACCCTTTCATTAGTTTTCAGTTTGTGGATCTTTATTGTTAAACTTTGTTCCCTTTAAAAAATGTTGTATTCACAACTCGGGTGCACGCTATCATGTCACAGCTGGTTAGAAAAACAACCTGACAGCCCTCGTCTTCCTGTCTTCAGGTGTACCGATTTCTCTCCTCCACCGCTGACTCTAAGATGGCCAGAGAAATGTTGAAAGAGCTGAAGGGGGGACTCTGTGTTCAGACAGACGGCACCAGAACAAACGGAGAGCAGAACGCCGCTGGGTCAGCTGACAGCAGTGATGTCACGGACAGTGGAGAAAAGAGACTGCAGCCAGAGGAAGCTGAGAGCCAATCATCAGGGAGCAATAACGCCACCGGCCAATCAGGGGATCTGGACTTAACGGGACTCTGTCCGCCCCTCAACCCATTTATGGTACCTCTGAAACTCTTACAGCGCAAATAGGCAGTTTAAAATGTGTTTTCTTTAATACTTGGTATTGATAGTTCATGATTTAAATGTAAATGTTGTCTTTTTTTTAGCTGCTTTTGTTAAGACAACAATAAACACTGATGCATCAACAACTTTGGCTGATTTCTTCTTAAATGATAGGGCTGAAACCCAAAAATGTTTTACAGAACTAATTGAACTCCGGATTATGTTCCTTTTATTAATGGATAAAATATCAGGAAAAAAGGCGAAGCACAATTTCAGTCATGTTGTGCCATCAGAAGAGTTTTCTGATTTATTGATGTAGATTTTCTCATCTATTAATTCACTATTTTTTCTAGTCTCCTAAAATGTATATGTATTTGTCGAAGTACAGAAGCGAAATGTCCAAATAACACAGAATGGGTGTCTGGGTTCAGATTTCACCCGGCATCTTTGCTCTTTGTCAGCAGAGGGCAGCAAGAGCCATTCTGCACTTTATAATGAGTTTCTAGAAAAAGACAAGCAGTGGTCAAATAATGTTACTTAAGAATATTAAACATAACATACACTACAAGTGAACCATTACAAAAATATTCAATCAAATCAAAAAATATATAATTTTCTTTGTTTTTGTGATACACAGTTATAAGATGATTGCTGGGTCAAATATGTTGATACTGTCCAATGCCGTGTCTCTATTTAAAGGGGACCTATCATGCAAAGTGCACTTTGTAGACATGTTTTTATATATTTTTATATATCTGAGACCCATAAGTTATGCCTAAAAATAGCATGATAGGAAACCTTTAATGATGGGACAAGACAACCGGATGGTGTGTGTTTGGGCTTTATTACAGCGTACACCGGGCCCTCTGTAATGACCTAACACCACCCTTCAGTACCAGTAAAGGAGCAAACCTTCTAAAACGCCCATTTCTTTAATCCCAGTCCTGGTTGTTGTCCAGGTCTCATCCCAGGTACTTTGGTCCTGCAAAGTTTCCACGTCAACACACTTGCCGGTGACAGGTTTAGGGTGTGTTCTGTGGGCGCTTAAATCTCCCACCATCTCCTTTATCTTACCAGTGTTGGCTGTGGTGCCCCACAACACTGAACGAAAACATTATTAGTTTTTTGGAAAGATGAAAGGGAACTCTTTCTTTTGTCCTTTTAGTGTTTTTCATGACCAAATAAAAAAAAAAAAACCTCATTCACCACAGCTGGGAACTCTGCTGGACAACACTGAAATCCAATACCCCTCTTCTGTGCTGTGATTCTATTTCATTAATTACTAAGACCATTATTTGTTGTGTTCTGTTGAGCAAGGATTGTTGCCTTTATGACTGGATGTCATTTGAAATATTATGGCGATACAGTACATGTCAAACCAAAATGTCAATAGCCTATCGCTGCCGAAGTGTAAAAAGAATGATCAGATGTTATCAAGATCATTATCTAACTTTAAACTAGATATTAGCGTGTTATAATACTTTTCATTTGCTTGTATATACTCTATACAAAACGATTTCCTTTCACAATGAGCTGACATATTTTTATAGCAATTGGCAAACGTTTCCTTCATATCGAATGATTTGTGATGTGGTGCATGGAAAGCTCACTGCTGTTGGGGAGGTGCGTTTGATTTTATGACCAGTTTCCATCTGTTAATCATTATTTGAAGATGAATTATTAACAGTGGCTTTCTGAGCCTCTGTGATCGTATGTTCAGGGAAACAGGCGTTCTTCATGATGGTGCACTTGAGGTGGAGCAGCATTGCCATGGCATCAGTGTTGTGTTGACACCAATTATATAAATAGCCAGCGATGATGTGTAGCGTTAGGAGGGAGTGTGCAGAGGGCAGCAAAGGCCATTTGGTTTTTTATTGATTTTCTAGAAGAAGACAGGCCAGTTGAAGGGCTGGGCTCTAACAGTAGGCTGCTGGGAATCAAACAACTGTTTTCTTTTACTCATGTTACTTTACCGAGTATTAAAACCTGATGTTCTGAAATCTTACATTGAAAGTCTTAATGTAACGATGTGGAAAGTAACTAAGTACATTTACTCAAGTATTGTGCTTAAGTACTTTTTTGAGATATTTGTAATTGACTTGAGTTACGTATTTCCATTTAATTCACCTTTATACTTCTACTCCAATACATTTCAGAGGTGAATATCTCTCAGTTACTATTTACATTGTACACATAATAACTCACAGTATTTGCTAATATGGTACAATGCAGTGCTGTAGAGGTGGAAAACGTACTCAGATCTTGTACTTGAGTAAAAGTAGAAGTACCAGAGTGAAGGAATACTCTGTTACAGTAAAAGTCCTGCATTCAAAATGTTACTCAAGTGAAAGTAGAAAAGTATTCTCATCAAAATATAGTGAAAGTAGCGACAGTGAAAGTAGTCATTGTGCAGATTGGTCCATTTCAGAATAATATATATGATATGTTTTATAATGATTGATCATGAAAGTGTTCTCAAAGCCGGTAAAGGTGCAGCTAGTTTGAATGACTTTGTATACTGCAGGGTAGCTGGTGGATTTACTCCAGGTGGAACTAAAGTCTGATTTAACACTTGATTAGATTTCACATCATTCATCCACATCTGTGAAGTAACTAAAGGTATTAAAAACATGTAGTGGAGTCAAAGTACACCATTTACCTCTGAACTGTAGAGGAGTAAAAGTGCAAAGTAACAAGAAATGGATATACTCAAGTAAAGTACTTAAGTACAGTACTTGAGTAAATGTACTCAGTGACGTTACACCACTGTGTACTAGTATCTTAATTTGGTCCACAAGTATAGAAACAGGATGAATAATAAAATACTGTGTTGACACTATTGATATTAACAGCCTGCGGTGACGTGTTAGGAGGGAGTGTCAGGGGTCAATTATTTTCTAACTGCTGTTCAACATTGGTCTTGTGCAAAGTTTACAACTGGGCTTGCTGAAACATCTTAATCCTGATGTTGCAATCTTGCAGCAGAGTGTGTCACTTTCTGAGAAACGAAACATACGGCACATTTCCACAGAACTAAAACTGAGCTGTCATCCTGCTGATCTCTGCGCTGATAATGTTCCATTATTTCCTTCTGTTCAGCAAATGGACAGTTTTCAAATTGTTTTATCTAATTACTTATTTCATAGCATTATTTATTCATATATAACTATCATGGGCCATGGTGCCCAGAAAAAAGCTCCACCACCAAGACGCACGCTTTTTAGTAGTCACTCTCTTTTTGTAATTGTTTTGTCTTAATGTAGTTATTTTGTGTTGCTTTGCATCACTTTGTTGTGGCCCTCTTTGTAGGCATGTTGCATCTCTCTGGAGTTGTTCTGTGTATGTTGTTAGATGTTTTGGTCAATTGTATATCATTTGATCTTGTAGTTATTTTTTGTTAGTGGTTGTTGAGCGCCTCTGTGGTCGCGTTGCATCTCTCTGTAGTTGTTTCATCTCTTTGTGGTCATTGTGAATCTTTGTAGTGTTTTTTTGTCCATTTGTTGTTTCTTGTTGAAGTTATTTATTGTCTGTTGGCGGTTTGCCCCTTGTTGTTGTTGTGTGCATCTATAGTTGTTTTGGGACTCTTGTAGTTATCTTGTGTGTCTTTGTAGTTCTTTTGTCAATTAGTAAATATGTTGGTAATTATTTTTGTCTGTGGTTGTCTTGCTCCTTTTTGTAGTGGTTTTCATTTCTTTGTAGTCATTCTGTGTCTCCTTATAGTTGTATCTTTTCAATTTTGTAGTTGTTTTTTTCTCATTTTAGTTATTTATTATCTGTTTTTGTTATGCCCCTTTTTGTCATGTGTGAATTTTGGTAGTTTTTGTGATCATGTTGTTTTCTATTTAATTGTCTTGCCCATTAGTCACTTTCAAATCAAGTACTTTGCCGTACTTAGTTCCCAGCACTTAGTACCCAGCACTTAGACCCCGGCCACACGAGGACGAAAACGGCTAAACGCATAGGATTAACGCAATCGCAAACAAGCTTCCGTCCACACGTTTTCGTCCTCGTGTGGCCGGGGCATTAGTTCCCAGCACTTAGTTCCCAGCACTTAGTTCCCAGCACTTAGTTCCCAGCACTTAGTTCCCAGCACTTAGTTCCCAGCACTTAGTACCCAGCACTTAGTACCCAGCACTTAGTACCCAGCACTTAGTACCCAGCACTTAGTACCCAGCACTTAGTACCCAGCACTTAGTACCCAGCACTTAGTACCCAGCACTTAGTACCCCCATGGAACTAAGAGCCGATCGCGTTCACACCGGAATAAATTCCCTGAGGGAAGATTACGCAAATGAAGCCGCTGGGTCCTTCTCACTTCGGTTACAGTTTTTCTCGATTGCTAACACACTAAAATTATACATGAAGCACAATTCTTTTAACTGGCACTCAAAGAGCAAAACATCGGCTCAAATCTCCAAAACTCTAAACACGTTTTCAGCTTTTCACACAAATTGCAAATCAACATGGCACTTTCTGCAAACCACTGCACACGTCTCTCCACGTGATACACAGGAATCTGACAAGTCACGTGTTGGCAGGTTTAAAACACTGATATTCAAAATGCCTCACACATGGACCAATGATCAAGAAGCACGTTCCACCTGACCAAACACCTGATGGCATCATTGTTGGCTCATCAATCAGGATGTTAGCACTATAAAAAGACCACAGGTGAGTACATTCTTACAGCAACAATGGAAGCCAACATGGAAGCAAGAGGAAGAGCAAGAGGAAGAGCTGGGCTGAGAGTGAGAGGAGGAGGAAGAGGTGGGTGAGAGTGAGAGGAGGAAGAATGAGAGGTAGAGCTGGAGGGAGAGGACGTGGACAAAGAAGAATACTCTCATGATATATCAGAGCTTATATCTGTTGTGTGAAACGTATTTACTTCATTACTGTAATTGAATTGTTGGCATGTTGCAGACTATAACTACAACAATCCTGCACAATGTACTGTGGTGAACTTACTTTGATGCAACACAGACACTGACCGACCCACTATGTCTTTGTTGTTTATCTGAAGGACTGAGAAACAAAGAGGTGGAAGGCTAAGGATGTCCAATGAGGCACAGGAAGCAGCAGCTACAAACTGGGTTTTGCAAACAATGCCATCACACTTAGAGAGATCTGAAGCATAGTAGCTATGTGC